ATTCCAGAAGTTTGTTTTGTGCCATGTGACTGAGTCCTTGCCAACAAAATATCAGCAGAGTGATGTGTATCACTTGTGTCCTATTCAAAAAAAGGTTCAAGTGATCACCTGTGCTCTTTTCTCCTCACTCAAGATAAAGATCTCATCATCAAAATGATGGTGTCAATATTTAGAAAGCTTATATGCTTTTGTTACTGCTTAAAAAGGAGTCATTTGACCTTTATTGGACATTATTTCAATGAGAAATAAACTCTTTGTGTGCTAAGGCACACAGATTCTTTTTTTTTAGCATAGCATCTAGTGATAATCACTCTCATATGCTTTTAAGATATTACTTTAAAATCTATAATTCAACAATTATAAAGTAAAATATCTATGCCTATGTGCAACTGAACAGCAACCTTCTCAAAAGAAAAAATGACACATATGCTAAAATTTTACAAAATTATTTCTGAGGCCTGAATTTGTATCATATAAAGGCTATGCTGGAGAAGCTCAATATCAGCTGTGAAAACTAGGCCAGGTGTGGATTGTGGAACAGACCACCAACTTCTTACATGCAAGTTCAAACTAAAGCTAAAGTAAATGAAATCAAATCTACAAGAACAAAAATTTGAGCAGTCTATCCCACCTGAATAAAAAAAAATAACCTCAGGAACAGATTTGAGGCCTTGGACACTAATAAGCAAAGGTCAGATGAGCTGTGGAAGGAATTAAAGAACATCATCCATGAAGAATGCAAAAGGTCATTATAAAGACAAAGGAGAAAGAAAAAACTGAGATGGATGTTGGAAAACACTCTGAATACTGCCTTAGAAAAACTGAGATGGATGTTGGAAGACACTCTGACTACTGCTTTAGAGTGCTAAGACAAAGCAAACGGAAGAAATCAAGAACTTTAAGAGCTGAACAGAAGATTTCAAAGGACAGATTGAGAAGATAAAGTATCATAATGAAATGTTCAAAGAGCTGGAGTCAGAACTCCATAGGCATTTCTTAAGCGGAAGGAAATGAACAAATTCAAGCCTCCAGTTGTAATACTTAAGATGCTATGGGCAGAATATTGAGTGATCCAGGAATCATAAAAAAAACAAGAAGAAGTACACAGAATCACTGTACCAAAAAGAACGGCTGACACAGAAATATTTCATGAAACAACTTGTGTTCAAGAGGCTTTGGTTATAGGGAGGAAGTTCAAGTTGCTCTGAAGGAACTGGCAATAAGGAAGTCCCAAGGATTTGATGGAATACCAATAGACATATATCAACAGACAGATTCAGCCCTAGAAATAATCACCAAGAAGTGCCAAGAAATCTGGAAGACAACCACCTGGCCAACTGAATGGAGAAGGTCCATATTGATTCCCATTCCAAAAAAAAAGTGAGCCAACAGAGTGTGGCTTGACATCGAATGATAGAGAATAAGATAACCAATATCACATGCAAGCAAAATATAGCTAAAGATTATCTAAACGTGACTGGAGTTGGGTTTAGAAGAGGTCATGGCCCTAGGGACAACACTGTCAATGTCAGATGGATCTTGGCCAAAATCTGAGCATACCACAGGTATGTTTGTGTTTCATTGACTATGCAAAGGCATTTGACTGTGTAGATCACAACATATTGTGGCTAGCCTTGAGAAGAATGGGAATTGCAGATACCTGATTGTCCTGATGTGAAACCTATACTTGGACCAGGAAGCAGTCATCAGAACAGAGCAAGGAAATACTATATGGTTCAAAATCAGAAAAGGAGTATGGATTATTCAAGAGGCTGGACTTTATGAGGAAGAATATGGCATCAGGATTGGAGAAAGACTCATCAACAACCTGTGTTATAACACAACATTGTTAGCAGAAACAGAAGATCTCCTGAGCCATTTGCTGCAGAGTATCAAGGACTATAGTTTGCAATACAGATTAAAGCTCAATATCAGGACAACAAAGATTTTTAGCACTGAACCAACTGGCAGCATCATGATAGACGATGAAAAGATTGAGATTGTTAACAATTTCAGGTTGCTCAGTCCCACAAACAACACCAGCAATAAGGATATAAAAGATTAATTAATTCCATTAGGAAAATCTGCTGTCAGGGACCTCTCCAGAGTGATGACGAGCAGTGATGTCAGTCTAGAGACAAAGGTGACCCTGATCCAGGCCACGGTCTTTGTAATTACTTGTTATAAATCAGAGAGCTGGACAATGACCAAGAGTGAAAGACAGCAGAAGAATTAATGCCTTTGAGTTGTGGTACTGGAGGAGAGCATTGAACATACTATAGTCTTCCAAGATAACTAACAGATCTGTCTTGGAGAGGGTGAAATCATGCTGCTCCTTGGAGACCAAGTATTTTGAAACTCTGTCTCACATACTTTCGGCATGTAGCCAGGAGGGATCTGTCTTTGGAGAAGGATATCATGCTAGAAAGGGAAGAAGGACAGTGCAGGATGAGATAGATTGACCCAATAACTGGGGTAATGAGGGTAGTTGTGGTAGAGACAGATTGACTCAGGATAGGGCAGAGTTCAGAGCTATTGTGCATAGTGTCACTGAGTTGTAGCAGACTTGATGGCACAAAACAACAACAAATGCTATGACATGTACACTTACTACTATAGAGTAAAACTTAGAATGGTAATCTGGAGAATGTTATCCAAAGTAAATGTTCTTGTGCCATATCTAAAATTTCCTTGGATGAGACACTTAGGAAGAAATAAGAGCTAAAATTTTCTCTGCACTATCCTTATATCTAGAACATATTTACTACTAAAACATATTCCATAGCTCTCTTCTGGAATACTGGCAAATTTTTAAACTATAATAGTACTACATAGATCTTTTGAAAACAACTTAAAAAGAAATAAGCTTAGAAGAAAAATGTGAACTTTCCACTTAATTGGTTTTTCATTTTATATCTTCCATATAATCAAGAGTCTTCAAACAACTCACTAGGTATTTTTCCCTCCTCTTTCTAAAACATTCAGAACTTGGAGATGGTATAAAATTATTAATGTTTCGATTTATAAGGCGCACATTCTTGTAAGAAGTCATTTTCTTTAGAGAAGCTAAAATCAACAGTCCTAATTGCTTAATTGCTCAAGTAATTTTCAGAACCCTTCGGGCAGAAAGGTAGTTGTGAGCATTTTTGCTCCCCACAGAGCATCTGGTTCTTGTGCATCAAAAATCTGCATCTTCCACAAATTTTGCATTGGAACACTTTTTGATGAAAATAAGGAAGATTAGTAAAGGTAAGAAATATAAGAACTGGCTGTGTTTAATTTTTTATGTCTTCTTAGTAAGAGAGAGATTGCTGTGAGAGACTCAAAAGACCAATAAAGTCAATAAAGAATAGATTTTCTTATTTTCTAACTCAGTCTCATTCTGACCTGTATTGATATACTTCAGATTGATAGGAGTCATCAGAGGTAGGCCACAGTTTCACATTGTTGCAATTAGATTTACTTGTGGAGCTTTGAAAAATGTCTGTAACAGGTTTGTTACCCAAACAATTAAACTGGAATCTCCAGGGTGCCTTTTAAGAATTCCCTCGGCAATGTGCATATTTTCTAGGTTTACCCTGCCTATACTGGAGTAGGACTATTTCAGAATAAAATGTATATGCTTGTAGTTCTGAGAAGAGGGAAGAAAACTACCTTGGGGTCTGACATTATAATGCTGTTGTTGTTGGGTGCCATTGAGTCAAGTATGATTCATAGCACTCCCATGAACAGATCAGAACCCTGTCCTATCCTACGCCATCCTTATTATTTCTGATCCACTTGAGCCCATTACTGTAGTCACTGTGTCAGTTCTACTGGTTGTATTTTAAATATGTTATTTTACATAGTCCTTAGAATAAAATTACAGGATATATATTTTTGCTCATATTTTAACAGTTGAAAAACAAAACTGATTTTTTTAAATTTTACTTTTGTGTGCATGTACCATCAAATCAGATCTGACTGGTACAGGAGGAGATTGCCCCTCCTTCCCCAGCAGAGCATCTGGTGGATTCAAACCGTGCGCCTCTGGGATTGTAGTTGCAGCTCCTTGCCACTAGGCCACCAGAGCTCCCCCAAAAATAAAACTGATTTTATGGAAATAGACTCAATTGAATAAGGTTCACACACTTAATATTGAATAACATTCTATTGCAATAATATTGTGTTCCTTAAAACTAGTGGTGTTTAAACAAATATTTTAGTGATTGATACGACAATAAATAAGGAACTAGAGTAGACTGACAACCTATGGCTTTTAAGTGGACATTTTGGAAGGCGGGGCAAGTCCTTGAAGAATGATATCATATTTAAAAGGTGGATGATAAGCCAAAGAGAGGATGACCATCAACGAAATGGTTTGACACAGTGACTGTAACAATGAGTTCAACTATGTAGGAGATGGTGAGGATGGCACTGATAGGGCAAGTTCAGAGCCATTCATTGTTCATAGGGTCGCTATGACTCATGGTCAGCTTGACGGCCTTTACACAGCAGTTGTCTATAGGGGCACAGTGGCAGGATGAAGCAATTTTGAATGTGAACTTATTGTTTACAAAGCCAAAATGTTTATTGGATTTTACAGAATAACTTAGTTGACATCCCAAATAGATCATATACAGCAGTATCCTTTTAGCTTTGAAATTCATGAAACTAAAACATTTCTAAATTACTAAATCTTTTTCAAGTTCTTTTGTAAAAGTGAAATGCTGTCTAAGATTATCTAAAATTAATATCTTAATTTAATATCATAAATGTTCCAACAAGATGACAAAGGCATATGCTGCTTATGTTTTCTTTTCTTATCTTAGGATGGAAAGTTATTTCTTGAAGCTTGGTAACAGAGATAATTTCAGAGTGCCAAACAAGAGGGTGTTTTTTTTAAACAAGATTATATTGCCAGGATTTTTGCTTTGTCTTATAATGAGGCTCTGCCTAACCTAACATAGCTGCACTAATTTAAGTTACATGGTTACACAGACAACTTCCCTGAAACTTACCATCTGGTGCTCCTTCCCTTCGATGAGGCAATGCTGGCTGTTGGTCCATTCGTCCTCCCTTGTGTTTTTTTGTGGGCCTAGGCCTCTGACTTTGACTCAGAGCGGCACTGGTGTTACTATCAGTAGAAAATGGGCTGGTTGGTCGAGGTCTTTGAGAGGAGGTAAAGGCTTTGCCTGAAAACAAACAAGCAAACAAACAGGGAATGGGAGGAAATAGAGAACATTATTAGAAAATACTATCTTTCACTTCTACTCTTAAGACTGACTTGTCTAACTGCCTGGATAAGTGCTCAATCAGATACCAAACATTGGTTCATCTTTTTGGGAAAAAAATGCCTTGCTGCATTAATTTTTTCTTATTTTTAATAAATAATATCCCCATCAAATAATCAAAGGAACAAAAGAGGAATTCTACCAAAGAATCTACCTTGATATGTTAAAATATATTTTTATTTTACCTTGTTTAGTTTAGTGATCTATCCATAGACAGTATGCAAATTAATGCAGCTCTTGTCTTAAAATGAAAAAAAATTAATTTTGAGATGAATTAGGTACTGTATTATTTGTTTAACCAGATTTTTACCTTTGGAATCTTAACATCTTTTTAAATCTCTGAGCACAAAACAAAAAAAATGCTCTGTGATGATTACATTTGTAAGTCTACATGAAGAGTCAGTCTGCTCAGGTACATACATTAAGTTGACCATTCCATCTACCCTCTCACAATAGAGTCTACCTTTTTAAATAGCAGCCCAGTAACATCAGTGTAGAGAATACATAAGTAAAAAAATCACTTTGCATATTCAAAGTGCAATTGTTATTTTCTAGAAAGTATTATTGTATCTGAGCAGATTCCAAGTTGTCATTGAAAAGTGCAGTGTGCTATGTCCTTTTCTTTCAGTTTAGTGTACAGATGCCAGGAAATTTATTCTGAAAAAAAGGTTAAGTAATAAATTTCAGCAACTTATTATTCTGATAGTGTGTAGGTTATAGAAAGAGAGGCCTGGTTTATGAATATGTACTTATTCTCTTGTGATTGTATTTACTTCATACAAAATTATTATGTATTATTAGCTAATAGCATACATGCAAGAAATGCACTTATGCCTTCTAATTTATTAGTTTCCTTGCACTTTCTCATTGCTTTGCTTATAGCTATGCAACAAAAAGCACTCAGGCAACATAAAGTTTCTGACTTATGGCTTATAAAGCAAGAAAATTCAAATAAACATTATATTACAACATATTTTAGCTTGGATGCTAAATAAAAAATAAACCTCTGCCATGCTTGGAAAATCTTTTTTATTTCCTTTGGTGATTCTTTATGCATGCACCAAAAAAATATTGGTGGTATAATCCAAAGGGAATTTTCAAGATGTTTTATTTTTTCCCTACACCACCTGTGGGTTTAGAGAAGGGTCACAGTAATTTTTCTTTATTTTTTCACTTTAATTTGAATACTATTACTACTTTTAAGAAAATCTCTGTAATGTTTCACTTGTTTGTTTCTTCAGGTAGTTCAGCTTAATTCACACGTAAGCACTGTCTACCACGTGCATATAAGTAAACATACTTGTGTAACAGTATGCATCAGACTAACAGTATTTTGTTTCTGTAAATAAGGAATGACAAAGTGAATTGTACATTCTTTGCTTATGAAATGAGAAGATAAGCAAAAAATATAAAAAGGTTGGTCTTTTATATTATTCTTACATCTAGAAATCAAAATTGGATTCCCCCAAAGCAAAATACGTATGTAGTCATCATTTTGTTCATCTTACAATGCAGTGGGTGTATTTTTAATTAGCATCCTTTCAAACAAATAATAAATTACTGGATTAAAATCTTAAGAGTCAAACACTTAATAAAACCATCAGGCTTTCGGAATGTTAGACTGACAGCCTTAGACCCATTCACCCCATGCTGAGAGAGCCTTCCCAGAAAGTGCAATTGTAGAAAGAGATGGAGTAAAGAAAGTAATGGAGATAAAAGCTGAATAATATTAATCATTGGGCACATTATTGATTTTGCGAGGGATTTGCAAAGCATGAGTTATTGAAAATTTAATGGCAAATTTGGTTACTGCTTGGCTCTAATGTAAAAAGGAGGTATATTCCAGTTAATCAGCAGAGCCATGAAGTGAAACTGGGAAGAGAAATAAAAGGTGCTAAGAGAAGCTTTTTCTTGGCTCTGTAGAACTAGCATAACAAGAGAATGCTTGTAACTGGACATCTGATTTGTGTTCATGCATGTTAGAGAAAGCTCTACAGTCAGACTCACTGAGGAGAAAGATCAGGAGGAAAACAGCTCAGTGTCCAAAGGACAAGATACTCTCATGCAAAAAGTGTTGACTTGGAGTCTACCAACCTGTTCTCGTAAGGCTGGTTCCATCCAGCCTAAAACCAGCTTTATCTGCTGCTGCCACCAGTGCTTGTGCAAAACTGCCGCTGGCAAAGATGGAGCCATCTGAGGAGCTACCTACACTAGATCTATGACTAGAAAAGTTACGATCCTCGTCAGATGCAGAGCCCCATCCATTTACCATTGAACCTAGAAACAAATGTAGTTGTCTAGTGAGTTGTATATATTGGATGCCTTATCTGCTTGCACATAATAAACTTCTGAGCAAGGGGTGACCTCAATGTCTTGTTGGGTTTTTTTTCCCCTTGAGGTAGATCTGTATACCATGACTTCCTTAGTCACATGCATGTACTATCCAAACTTTGAACATTCTTAGTCCAGAAGACTGAAGCATATTTAAAATCAGGTCTATTTGTAGTGCCTAAATAAAACATCTTCTACATGGCTTAAACTTAAAAATCACTATATGATAACTGTTTTAAAAACAACCAACCAAACCAAATAACTACTGTTGTGTGCATTTTAGGTTTCTATAATTAAGGGAGAAAAACTCTTTTCCTGAATTAAACCATAAATTTATTTAAAGAAAATTTATCAAAGGCTAAGTTAAATAAGTAGTGCAATTATATTTTGAATTTAATTCATCTTTTATGAAACCTGCATTCGTACAGTGGACAAGTCCTAGAAGTAATTCAAGACTTTAATAAAAAACAAAAGTACAATGAATAATAAAGCAACAATGAAAAGTTATAAATAAAAACAATGCAGAAACAATATAAAACAAATGACAGAATATAAGAAAAACTTTTATCTCTTAAAAGATCTCATTTCAAAGGTCAATACACTTTTTAGCTTTTTATTATTATAAGAATGCAACTTTTCTCTTTAATATTACTCTATAACATGGCTCTGTAAACTCTATGAACTTAGATAAATGTCGATAGTTGTAGAGGGTCTTCAGGCCTTTTGTTCATAGGTTCGCTATGAGTTATGCTTGACTTGAAGGCAATCAACAACAACAACAACATTAGGTATCATAAGATATTATAATATTAATATGGAATTTTCAGCAAAAACCAATTGTGAGTAGAGAAAAAGAATTTTACATGTAAAAAGCTGTAAAATGTGACAATATGATAAATAAGTTTTAAACTTGTAGCAATTCGTTGACAATTACATATTTTTTCTTAGATAACTCAGATATTGAACCTATTCATAGAGTATTATAATATTTATTTAAATAAATACCATTAAATCAAGACATCATAAGCTAACAAGGGGGCACTTCAACCATTTTTAAAAAAGAAGTGAAAAGTATTTTCAAAAAAGATTTAAGGTTTTTAAAGAATTTATTTCAATCATTTTAAAGAAACAAATATTCCCATGAAAGAGCTTAAACTCAAGTACTGCAGATAATTTCTTTTTCTCAATATTGAGGGATAATGGTAGAGTATAGAGTGTTACTGTGATACAGTATTTGTAATTTTACTCAAGGTTCTAAGATACAATAATATGGGTTCATGCACTTTAAAGACAGAGAAAACAGAAACCGAAGGGGTTAGAAGGATCTGAGAAGTTAAAAGGGTGTTAAGTGTAGCAGAGAAAGATAGAATTTTGATTCTATTTGCCAAAAGCACAGAGATACACTTTTCACTTTCCAAACAAATTCCCTTGACACAGACCACTGCAAAGCAGTCAAGATAACACCAGCAACCGAGCCTCCTGTGAGAGAACTATTTCTGAGTTAATAATCTCAAGTCAAGGACCAACAGCCCAAAATGAAAGGAGGAATGATGCAATAGGCTTTGCAATATAACACTACAGTAGATAAGGGGAAAAAAATCAAAGTGACACATTAAGTGTTCACAAAAGAATATGAAAGCCAAGAAATGAGAACCATGTTTAAAAATTAGAAAATTCAATCCCAATCACTCCCATGGGCTGTTTTCTGCATTTCCAATGGTCTGCTAAATATCAGCAAATAAATTCTCATTAGCTATCTCAAACCTTGTTCATCTCCAATTCCACTCCTAAACGCCTCACATAAATATTTCCTTTGTTACTATAATCTAAGCAATCTTTCTGAAACACTTATCATAAAATGTTGTTCCTCTGCTGTCATTTTGCTCACCTAGTTTCTCAATGCCAGGTCCACATTCTTGAAATCCTTCAATATATTAGCCCTGACCTACCCTTCCAGACCCAATCCTCTTACAACCTAGATTCCTGACCTGCATGACAGCACCTCCTGCTCCTTGCATATCTCTCTGAATGGCTATAATTCCACTGACCATTGTGAACTCTAAAGCCCAGGAAAGATAGGAGATATTGCCTATCTTTCTTTCACAGAGAATATAGAGAGCAGGTGGATTTAAACCATGTGTCTTTGTTTTTATTTCTCCATTTTCTTACAAATCTTAACTCATTTAGGCATTGGGGGTGTGTGTGTGTGTGTACGTATATGGTTCTTCTTTGTTTTTGTTTTTTTTAAAATCTGTCTTCCCCACATAGTCAGTTTGAGAGAAATATCTGGATCTCCGTAAGTCTGATGACTATGTGATTCTAACCTGAGTATGTATGTAGTTGGTCTACAAATTCAGAGAATAAGCTGGCAAAGGGTTGGACCAAAAGCAATACCACAATGGTGTCACTAAAGAACTAACATCCTATAGAGTTTCCTTAAAGAATATTTGTCCACTTTTCTTAAATATTCCTACTTACCTCTAAGTTGTTCAAATAAATATTTTCACATAAATTTTTGCAATTTCCTAACTAAATCAGCTAGGAGTTCCTGGTTTGAACAGACAGTTAAG